GAGCCCTCCTGCACGGCCAACCGCGAGGTCCAGCCCCACCCATCTCCCAGACTCTAGTATTCGGAGTGGTTACCGACACAGGGCCAGCTGAGCTGCCTTTCGTGCCAGATCATGAGAGGACGAGTGGCTAACTGAAAGTGCCTGCCACCACGATTTTCTTCGCCAACAGCGCCAGTGCACAGAAGACCACCCGGTAAACATTCCGATCACGTCCCCCACATACCGAGCAAGCAACACAATCGCCAACAAGCCAGGCAACAACAGACAAGACAGGCAACAACAGACCATCAACAACGTCGCTCCAAATGATTTCCTGCCGGCATTGGAACCTAACATCCGCGCGCCAAATAAGCTGTGAATAACGGACCAGCAACAATCCCAACCCAGAAGATAAACCCTAAACCCCAAAGCCCTGAACCTCACAACCCTAAGTTAACTCCCCAACTCTGAACTCCACAAACCTCTAACCCAAACAATCAAGCCGATAAGAAACCTTCATCGAATAAGACAGAATAAAGATGCTCCTGCCTTCCGTTTATCCCGTGAAATCGATGTCAGTATCATCGTATTGTAAACTAACTAAAAGCCCTAAACTTTGCTTGACCCTCGGCTCTAAACAGTCCGAGGCCTTCAGCACGACACCAAGGAACTGGGAGTTGGCTCCTGTGGCAATCGGAAGTTCCAGCAGCTACCTTCCCCTTATTCCCGTCCCAGTTCATGAAGCCATTCGTAAGGACAATGCCATCTCGCTACATGCCAGGAGGTGCTGTTGCGTACAAAGTCGCCGCTTGGGCAGAGCAGGTTTAAGAGCCACCAGCTTCCTTTCATGATGCAAGGCTTGTTGGTTTTTGGTGCCACCACTACCACTGAGGCTCGTGGTATCGGCGGAGGCAAGAACACATTGTTGGAAAAGGACTGCACGCACGGCCAAAATCCAACCCTACACCTTACTTAAACCTCTGCCACCTTGCAACAGCACTGCACGTATGCTTTCGCTTTTGCTCAGGCAGGTTCATCACCGGAATCTAGCCGGGCGCCAGCACTTGGCCGGTGTCGGAACTCCTGCGAAGAGTGCACTCTGGCTTGCGAGGCAAAACAGCCTCTCTTTTTGTAGACTGGAGTTAGATACCTATGTTGGTTAGCACTTGCCTTGCCCTTCTCGAAGAAGCCTTCGTCTGACCATAGAGGCCAGCAGTTTCTCGATTCCTCATGCCTGCGTGCAGCATGCAGCATGAAATTGAATTTGCAAGCTGAGCTTCGATGCAAGGAAGACACAGAACATCAACACCAAACAAGCTGCTTGGAAACGCAAGCCAGTGCAAGAATGGGAGTTTCCATCAATCAGTATTTCACAGCAGGCAAACAACACGCAAGACAATTCCAAGGACTACTACTGTATTCTTAATCTGAACATCTGGAAAAGCCCAAGCAGCACTTCGAAGCCAGCCAAATCGGGGCACAGGCGATGCTTCAGCACCTGAGCTCAACTCTGGCATTATACCGGCATGATCAAATTCAATTGAGGATGGAAATGAAAGTACGGGTGCGACGAAAGTACGGGTGCGAGTCATTGCTTTCGTATCAGGATCGCAGCAGCCGCACGTGCCAGGTCCATCAATCGGTCCGGTTTCTAGTCCGGCGAGAGAGGCATTATGAGGAACCTATGCGCTTCTTGCCGAGCAACATAAATCGGATTGGTATTCCACCAGGATACGCCAGATTTCGCCATGATCGCCATATACCCAGGATCGTTACCCGACACATTCTCGTCGTCTAGCGTCTTGCCCATTTTCCGAAAATGATACCTCAGCCGGGTGCATTGCACAAGCTTTCTTCGGCATCCCGAACTGTGGCCTTGTCGTCGGCATCTTCCGCTTAGCAGCCTTACCAGTCATGAACCTAGGAGGCCGCCTCTACGCTGGTTCCTTGGAAAGTAACTAGACAGTGGAGAATTGAATTGTTGCACATCAGTTGACATGTCTTCTTAAACTGATCAAACCAATGTTCAACTCTCACTTGGCATCTCAGCTGCTCGATCGAAAGGATGCCAGAAACATAAATGAAATAAGTCAGCATGAAGATGAGAACGAAGATCAACACGGCGAAAGGTCGCTCGGTGATTTGATCCAACCTGAGCTCAGGCTCCAAACCATCCGCTTGAGATGGAGGCCTCACAGACATCGAACATGATGCACGAGGAAACAAAAACTGCCTACAACCCACCCCAAAAACGCACGTCGCCTCTTGCTGGACCACGACCACCAGCAACCACAACCAACAGCCTAACCAGTGTGTCAAAGTCGGGGTTTGGGAGACCTGTAAGAACCGACGACGACGCGACAACATGCGAAACACGGCTGGGAAGCCAATAAAGTTACTGCTTGAGACGAAGCTTGGACCAAAGTTTCGGGAGTTCTGGCTGTGGCAAGAAGCCGATATGCCCAAAAGGCAAAGGAAGAAGCAGCCATCGACAGCACCAGGCCCCACACCTCAAGCTTTTCTTTTTCAAGGAGGTATGGCGCTTCTGTACACAATCAAGGCATTTCAACTCCTCCTTCATCTGCCTCCCATGCAGAGGTCTCCAAGTTCCAACGAAGTGAACTTGCCAACGAAGCTGCTGCATGAACACGACTTGCAGGAGATGTCGTGGCACGTAATTAGTGCCAGAAAAACTTCGCTGACCCTGAACAGAATGGTTTCGTTTCGAGGACAAACCGACATGGCTGCTCTTCTCGTCACTTCTCATGCTTCTGCCTGCCAGCTATTATGCACTCTTGCGTGGCGAAAGCTGCCGGAAGTATTGCGTCTGGCCATTCCAGCTGAACAACACGGAAAACAAATGCACCATTCTGGACGAAGCAGAACACACAACAGACACTGAGCGTAGACTCCCATTTCCGACAGCAGACGACGATGAAGGAGAAGTATGTCCCGTCGGAGTCAAACTCGGATTTCCCGTACCTGGGGAGTCGAATGAACTGTAGCTGCGGTCGCTGCCGGCCCTGAATGCCTGTGCTCTACATGCTCTAAGTCTACTATACAACGAAGTCATGAAACCTCTGCAAACCTTGCGTCAAGTTCGGTTCTCCATCCAAAGACATGTTCCAGCATAATTGGCATGTGCAGACCTGAACTGGATCCCTGCACGCGATATACCAGCAACGTCACATGTTGACGGATGTGCTGATTAAGTACCCTGCGATCTTCAATACAGGTCAGGCGCAGCCAAAGCATCACGTAGCGCTGCCACAGGAAGAAAAGAATGCTGAATGCCAACCTCGTGGAAGTGTCTGGGATTCGGATTCTGGACAAGTGGAGCATATTTGACCGGGGTTCCAGTTCGCCTCGTGGGCTGGAAACTTCCAGGGGACAGAACACACTTCGAAAGCACGAAGAGCTCCAGAGTCAAAACCATGCAGGGACAACTTCTAGCACTGCAAATCCCTGTACCTTACTTATCTAGCAAGCAAGAGCGACAGGGAGCTAACAAAGCTGTCAGGATTGTGAATGAGCTGCGAGCTCACGGCCCACGGCCCTATTTTGCCCGCCTTGTCGCATGTTGCTGTCAATGCTGGACTACTCTTTGGTTCACTGGATCGTCCTGCACCGCTGGATTTGCAACCGTAAGTGCGCGAAAGCCCTTGATGCTGCTGCTGTTGGCAGTCTGCTTCGCAAGTTCTTCTTCAGAGTGTGCATCTGCTTTGCAACCAACAGGCTCGGGTATTCCTGCTTGCGAATTACGGGGCACCTCAGTGCCCTCGGAACATCGCACAGTTCCTGGTGCACTGTCGCTTGGCTAAGCACAGCCGGTGGCTTCAAGATGTACAATACACACCACTCGCAACCAGGTTATCTCTGACAAAATACGAGCACAGGTCCAAGGCCATTTCCATGGGCTGCGTTGGCAACGAGGTTGGGGCAAGGACTTGCTTCAGGGCTTGTTCAACCCGTTTCTTTGCGATCCTATCTTCGATGGCACACTGTCATGAGCTTTCTTCGACTTCCAACTCTGCCTCTTCAGGTCCAAGGCACTGGGCAAGCCAAATTCGCATGCTGTAATCGATGAAGTAGCAAGCCGTGAGAGCAATTCCTCGAGCAGGCCAGTGCTTTTGCCAATGGATTGGGATGGCTGGATTATGGGCCTGAAGAAAGCGCTTCATGTGCATATCAAGACTCAAACCGTGCTGTCCCAGCAAACAACAACAGTGATGCCTCAAGAACAGTCTGCAAGCTATAGAAGCCTAGACTGATTCTTCCAAGGCGCCTGGAAAGATGACAACGTAGGTGTACTCCATCCACAACAGCAGTGGCACCAAACTTTGGGCCTTCTCTGCTTCTCCTCATGCACGATGCGCGATACTGCCACAATTCCGTGGATTTCGACTAATCTGACCCAACGAGACCCCGGAGCTGATAGCTACCTAGCAATCTGCTGTCGGTGACAGCGCCTGACTTGCTTGATGTTTTGCTTTGCACATTGCCAGATGCAGCAACAACCGAAATAAAAGCTGCATTTATCAAAAAAAGAGCTAAACCCATGCAAACATCAGCGTTAATGCAGGCAACGCAAGCCAACATACCAACGGCTGATCTCTTGGAGTTTCTTCCACGACCCTTTGCACAAGTGCTAGAACTGGTACTAGCAATAGCAGTCACTAGCAGCTCACTAGCACCACCACCACGACGACGAAGACTGCGACTACTGCTTCTACGGCTACAACGACGGCTACGGCTGTGGCTGCGGCTATGGTTGTGGCTGCTGCTGCCGCTAACAATGGCTAACAACAACTCCCACCACTGCTGCTACTGCTACTGCTACTGCTACTGCTACTGCTACTGCTACTGCTACTGCTACTGCCACTGCGACTGCTACTGCTACTGCTACTGCTACTGCTACTGCTGCTGCTACTGCTACTGCTACTGCAACTGCTACTGCTACTACTGCTGCTACTGCTACTACTGCTACTACTACGACGACGACTACTA